AGGATGCTGAAGTGGCCAAAACCCAGTGCATCTGTGATGTAGACCCTGCTCAGCCAATACCTTTGTCTCCTTATCTATACGCAGAAGGCTCTGGGGGGTCCCTTCTCACACCAGACAACACATTTCTCCCTTGAGAAGTGATGTTTGGAGAACTGCTTTGAGGGTACAGCAAGGAAACCTCTCAATGTTTCCCAAATCCATCTTGGATCAAGAGGATATAAGAATGTAGGGTACAAGGACGTAGTCAAGGAATCCTTGCTCAGGGAAGATTGGTGTTTTGTCCTACTCACTGGAGTTGAGGGAAGGATAAAAGATGTGGCCCTTCTGCCTAAGCTAACACCCTGCTCTCTGTTCTCTGACAGCTGGGCATTTGGCTCCAACTCGCTCCCCATAGCTGGCTCTGTGGGGATGGGTGTGGCCCGACGGACCCAGCGGCAGTTCCCAATGCCTCCTCGGGCCCTCCCACCTGGCAGGATGGGCCTCCTGAGCCCTTCAGGCATTGGAGGTGTCTCTCCTCGACATGCCCTTACCAGCCCCAGTCTCGGGGGTCAGGGCCGACAGGTGAGCCGGCTGCTGTGGGAGTCCAAGTGCTTCTGGGTTGGGGTGCAGTACCTGGGATGTGTTTCTTGGCCCTTGGGCCTTGGGCCTGGGTCTCTCTCACTCCCCCTGACACTTTCTCCCCATGTTGTATGCAGAACCTGTGGTTTGCCAACCCTGGAGGCAGTAACAGCATGCCCAGCCAGAGCCGCAGCTCTGTGCAGCGCACTCACTCGCTCCCCGTCCACTCGTCACCCCAGGCTATTCTCATGTTCCCTCCAGGTGAGCTCTCCTGCCTCTGGCATTTAGCCTGGTCAGCCTCCTCAGTTGATTTTTGTCTCCTCATCCACCTGTTCTCATCCACTCTTGTGTCTGGGTTTGCATTAGGTCTCTGTAGGCTGTGCACCATCTCTCACTCCCCGTGTCTTTTAGGGAGGCGTTTTCCGTCTGTGTCCACTAAGTCTGCTGGGGCTCTCTTCCCTTCATTACTTCTACCTCATTTCCCCTCTGCTTACCTGTCTTTTCTTCCCTGTCTCACGGTCTCAGTGTTGGTATTGATCTTTCACTGTCTTTAATAGGTTCAATTAATACTCAGAAGGGGTTGAGCCTGAGAGGTTAGTGATGGTTTTATGGAGGAATTTGTATCCTGTCAGCCCACCTGGGTTCTGTCAGAGGCTAGTGACTGCTGGAGCCAATGACTCTACCTCTTAATGAGGTTCTGTGGTAAAGGGTGGTGAAGGTGGACTTCTTTTCTTCTGCTCACACCAACCTGGAGGTCAGAGGTCAGGAGGGTTGAGTGGCAGGTGGCAGACCGCTAGCTCTGGGTCCCTTCTTGACTGGCCAAAGGAGGGTGACTCCTGGCTGGTCTACTGCATGCTTGGCCTGGGCATGGCATCTATGACAAGAAGCTGGCTTCAGTGGGCTGCTTTGGACAGGTCTTAGATTTGCAGGTGATCCAGGTTCTTGCACTCAAAACTCTGTAGCCCAGTAAAGTTTCTGAATTGATGAAATACTTGCTGAAGGCCTCCATCTGTGGTGCCAGAGAGTCTGTGTCCATCCAGGGCAGGGCTGGGCACACTAGAAGCGTTTACTGCGTGAGTGCTGTTGAATGAATGGGTGTGCCACGTGTGCAGAAGGTGGGAATGGATCCAGCCAGCGTGTCAGCCAGTCAGGCAACCTTCCTGCACTTGAAGTCACGGGAAGGAAGGGTGCGCAAGTTTTTCTCACCTTACCAGCTACCAATCAGCTACAAAGAGTGTTCAAGTTTAAAGCTCGGTTTTTTGTTTGTTTTGTTTTTAAGAGAGATGGGGTCTCCCTAGGATTAACCTCAGGGTTTAGATGGCTGGTGGTGAAAGATGAGACTTGAGATAGGAGTCAGACCCTAGGAGTACAGCTCAAATCTCTGACTAAGCACTTTTGTGCTTAGCAGTGTGAGACTTGAGCTCTCCTGCAGGTGCTAAATATAAATAGGCCCTTTTGAGAAGTGCTTTGAGGATAGACTCCATGGCAGCTGTCCTATTCAAGGTACCTGTTGAGCCTGCCTGGCTTACATCCTGTTTGGAGGAACAAGTCCAAGTGGGCACAGGAAGGGCTTTAGCTTAACTTTTACACCAAGCATAGACAGTGAGCCATCAATCAACAGAAAGCTGCCCAGTGTCTGGGGCATGTGCCCAGACTGCCCTAGGCAACTTGGAATCCATGTCCATAACAGTCAAGGCCTGTGTGTGGCCTCCAGGAATGCTCCCTCAGCTTCCCATCACTTCCTGTCTGAAAAGTCTGGCCTTTCCTGCATTGCCAAACCCCTCCATTGGCTGTCTGTCTGCCTTCTTTGTGAACCTCGTAGGCCTGGGTGTGTCCAGGCCCGTGGCAGCATTCTCTGTCTCCCATCCTCTGTCTTTCCATTCTGCTTGCTCCTCCCCTCACCACCATCATTATCATCTCTCCCACACAGATTGCCCGGTACCTGGGCCTGACCTGGAGATCAATCCCACCCTGGAGTCTCTGTGTCTGAGCATGACAGAACACGCCTTGGGTGGTGAGCATTTCCTCTTCCCCTGACCTAGCTCCCATCTACCCAGCATCTCCAGCTCTGAACCCAGCAACTTGGAGCCATCCTGAGGGTCCCAAGGGGAGGCCAGACTCCAGGGAGGGCCTGCCTGGGATGACAGGCTATGTGAGTGCCTTTCCTCAGGCCTCCCACCAGCTCCTGATCTTCCTCCCTTCCTCCCTTTCTTACCACAGATGGGACAGACAAAACCTCCACCATCTGACGGGACCCACAGCCCAGCGCACCCATAGGCTCCCTGGGCGGCGGGCGGGGGCCATCCCCCAACAGGCTTCTTCTCGGCAGCGAGAGGGTGGGCTGGCGCAGCTATACATTCTGATATTTTTCTACTCATCCTCTTAACTTTTGTTTAACATTGGCACACGCCTTGCTCACTCCCAGGCCCATTGAGGGATCTCAGCTGAGGCCGGGGGTCAGAGAGGGCAGCCAGGGGCAAGGGGCAAGGACTGGCCAGACTGCCTACCCCTTCCCTCCCAAATCCCCCACCATCCCCATCCCACCCCTGCCTCCTCTAGACGGCTGACACCTGTCCTTCCCCGAGAGAGCAGACTTCCTTAGAGACAAACTGACCACCACCTTGTGCAGCCTGCCCTTCAGAAACACAACAGTGGGGGAAGCAGTGTGGACAGCCTGCTCTCCAGTATGTCACTGGAGAAGAGCCCCTCTCCCCTGGTTCCTACCCACCATTCCCCAGGACAGCCACCACCTTCCTCCCCCCTCTTCTTGCCCTGTTTATCAGAGGTTCTCTACAATTAATTTCTTAGGCCTATTTAAGATACATATTTATATAGTTCTTAACGGTTTTTCTCTGATCATTCCCTCTCATTTTTAGAATCCCCAGGCCTCTCTCTGAGCCAGGACAGTGGCAGGGGGAGCCTGAACTTTATGAGAGGAGAGGGCAGAGCCCCCTCCTCCAGACCCCCTCGCCCTTCCCCATCCCAGCCCTGGCTCCCAGATGCAGAGGTTGAAGGTGGGCAGCCCCAGGCCCGCAGTGAGGTCAGGAAGTCTGTTGCCTTAATGTCCCCTTTCCCCACCAACATAACCCTTCTCTGCTCCCCAGGTCTGTTAGCAAAAGACTTGTGGGTAGGAACCAGGGAAAGGGGATTGTTGGTTTTTGTTTTCTTGCCTACCCCTCTTTCTGTCAGCCTTCCCCAACCCCATTATGTCATGACCTCATGTAAGTGGAACACTATATCATAACCCAGAGGTGCGGCCCAGCCTGAGTCACACAAACAAACCCTCTGCCCCATTACTGATGAGGGCTGGTGCTGGGGCCCAGGTGGAGGGAGGGAATTTGGGGGTTCAGGCTGTGGGGAAGCCAGGGTTCCCTATTCCAAACTCCTCTTCCCCTCTCAACCTACACCCTCATTGGGACATTCTCAAGCTTTTCACACGAAAAGGAAAAAAATGTTATTTTTAGATACATTTTATGAATAACTTTTGTTATGAATATGGCTGGTAACCATTGTGTATGTTATTAAAGATACAAAATGTTGGGAAAAAACAAAAAACCAAAAAAAAAAAAAAAAAAATGAAAACCACAGCCTTCCCTGCACTATCAGCCCATCCCCCAGACCTTGCCCTGCCTCCTGGTCTGTGGCCCTCCCCAGCTATGAGCCCAGGGAGGGAGAAGAAGCCAGGGGGTAGAGAGGAAATGGGGACCTGCCTGTGGTCCCCACCACCTCTCCCAGTGCCGGGCTGGGCGGGGTGTCAGGTGTATTTATGTACCTCTTGCACACTCATCAACCTATGCAAGTCCCCACCCCGGCCCTCCAGGTTTCTGTGCCTTTGCTCATTCCCTCTAACTCCCAGGCTTCTCTGGCCCTCCCACTAACTGGGAAGTGGGGTGAAAGGCCACCTGTTTAAAACGAGCAGGTTTCCCTCTCATGGGACCCTCACCTCCACGAGCTGGTCTAGTCTTGTCTTGTTCACTTCCCATCAGGGTGACTGACCCTGCTTGGCACTGGAAGGTGGTAAGGGATACCCTCCCCGAGAGGGAGGTGAGAGCTTGCCCCCCACCCGACAGCAGAGTGCAGGACGCAGGCGGCCCCACTCTGACAGGCAGGACCCTGACCCTCCTCCTCCCCCATCCCCTCCATGGTTTCACCCTACCCTACCCACTTTTGTCCCCAGCCCCACTGGCAGAATCAGCTTTGAGTAACTGTACATTTTCTCGCTGTTGGAGAAGACTTATTTGTTGGAGTTTCAATTGTTAATGGTCTGGGCTTATTTTGGAAAAAAAAAAAAAAAAAAAAAAAAACCAAAAAGATTGTGATTTTTGTTGCAATGCATTTCTTGGGAAGTCCATGGGGCTTTGCGTTTGTGCTTCAGGCGGAGGTCATGGAGCACCTGGGGTAGGGATGGGTTGGAGGGGACGAAGAACTGAAGCTCTGGGAGGTGAAGTCAAGAGAAGTTGACTTTATTAACAGCAAAGATTCGAGGGGTGGGGACGAACAAGGGGCTCACAAAACAGACAGCTAGAAAAGTGCTTCCCTGCCCTAACGGTGTGTGCGCTGGCCTCAGGAGGCCTCGCGGCTCAGTCACTGTCACTCTCAGCCTCACTGGAATCAGAAGCTGCAGCTTCACTGCCATCCTCCTGAGCTGAGTGCTCGCTGCCACTTTGGAAAGGGCTGGCACTTCGGCTCCGGCTCTGGCTGCGGCTCCGCTGGCCGCCCCCATCACTGCCACTGTCCGAGTCATTGTCACTGCCCCCACGGGCCTGCCCTCTGTCCTCCTCATCAGAGTCGGCATCGTCCTCTGAATCAGCGTCGCTGCCGAAAATCTCTTCCTTGTCGCGGGCAGCACGAGCTTCGTCCTCGCTGCTCTCATCCTCGCCGCTGCCACTCTTGTCGCTTCCCTCCTCCCTGTCACCCTCCTCCCGGTCGCTCTCGCTGCCAGAGCGCTCGTCCTCGCTGCCTTCCTTCTCACTGCTGCTGCCTTTCTCCTGCTCCTCATCTGCCAGGAAGCAAGGACAGGTGAGACCCCCACTGCCTGCCGCCTTCCCAGAGCTCCCAGGAAAGGGTGTGACCACTCCTTTACCTGAGCCCCCAGCTTCCTTCTCTTCAGCCTCCATCTCCTCCTCCTCCTCCTCCTCTGGTTCGTGGTTTTCCAACTGGGCCTTTCGTGCCTCCTAGAACCAGTGAATTGGGACGAAGATGGAGGGTGTGTTCTGTCCTCACCCACCGCTAGCCTCCCCGTGGGGGTCCCGTGGGGGTCCTAGGCCAGCAGAGTTTGTTACCTGAGCTTCTAATTCCTTCTCATTCATGTCCCGGTGTTTGACCACAAGCAGGGCATTGGTGCCTGACTGAACCCCAGCCTTGGCCCGACGCTTACTAAGACGGACCCTGTAGTGGACAATTGCAGAAGGGGGAAGATTCAGTTAAAGACCGTCTCACTAGACACCTGGTTCCCTATCACTGTTTGGCCCAGAGCATAGCAGAGTACAGAGTATACATACAGTGTACATGAGAATTATGGAGAGTTAATGTCTGTGATTTGATTTACCCAATTTTAAGTTTTTGGCTTTAATTTTTTTTAAGTGAATGGGTGTTTTGTGTATGTACCATGTATGCAGTGCCCTCAGAAGCCAGAAGAGGGCATCAGATTTTCCTGGCAACTAGTGTTGACAGGCTGGAAGAACAGGCAGTGTGCTTCACGGCTAAGCAATTTCCCCAGGCCCCTTACCCAACTTTTAAAAACAAGGAAGTGGCAAATTTTGGGTTTCTGGCTTTTAAATAGGAAGGACATAGCAACAGTAGACTGAGGCTGGACTGTACTAATCACTAGTGTTGTCACCGGCCTATTGTCACATCCTCAGCCCAACTACATGATCAGAACCTGTCATCTCTGCACTCAGCAGAAACTCAAACCACAGGCAACAGGACAAGTTAACATTCAGCCCTCAGAGGAGAGTTCTGAATTGACACTTTTTGGTCAGGTACTTCATTTAAAACCCGCTCAAGGGTCGGGGAGGTGGTTCGGCTGGTCCAGCGCCATGGTGGAGGGGGGGGGGTTATCCTGACTTCCTATCATAGTACGCATACAAAATACAAGCACGGGGAAACAACTGACAGCAACCCAAATCACATATACAAAACTAATAACACTGTAGAAACGAGGGATGTATCTTAATAGCAGGGCACTTGCCTAGCATGTGTGAGAAAAATGACCATGTTTATATCCTGTGTTATGTAAAGATTTTTTTTTTTCTGGTTTATGGTATTAGAACCAGAGTCAGGTCAAGCCCACATTCATAAGCAGGCTCCTGCTGCTCTCACAAAGTACATGCAGCAGATCCTTAGGTACATAATGACCTCAGGGTAGTTCTTCTGTGGCCTCAAAAACACAGAGCCAGAAGAATACTATTGGCGCACACCTTTAGTCCCAACACTCAGGAGACAGAGACAGGTGGATCTCTGAGTTTGAGGCCAGCCTGGTCTACAGAGTGAGTTCAAGGTCAGCAGAGACTACAGAGAGAAGCCCTATCTTGAAAAACTAAAAGAGCTACTTCCAGGACAGCCTCCAAAGCCACAGAGAAACTCTTGTCTCAAAAAAAAAAAAAAAAAAACCCAAAAAGTAAATACAGGGCCAGATTCATAAAACAGTGCTGAGTACCTGGTCTCCAGCTCATTGTAGTAAACCCCATCGCCCTCTCGGAAGATGAAGAAATAGTTCTCCTCATAGCCCTTACTGGCTTTGTTCTTCACATTCCAATTGTATTCCCGAGCGATCTTGTAGTCATACCTGAGGTAGAGGCACAGAGTCAGCCCATTTGCTCCTGAGGAGTAAAGGGTACATATTCTCAATTCCCAAAAACTAAACCCTTACACATCATCTGGTGCATAGTCCATCTCTTCCTCCTGGTCCCGTTTTCGTTTCTTTAGTGTCTCTTCCACAGGCAGAAAATAAGCCACAAACTGGTTCCCTTCCTCATCCATCATGCCCCTGGTTGTGGGGAGAAGAGAGCAAAGAAGTAACAAAGAGGGCAGTGGTGGCGCACACCTTCAATCCCAGGGCTTGGGAGGCAGAGGCAGGTGGATCTCTATGAGTTTGAGGCCAGCCTGGTCTGCAAGTTCCAGGACAGTATCCAAAGCTACAGAGAAACCTTGAGCTAGACAGCCAGAACTGTTCCACAGAGAAACTCTATCTCAAAAAACACGAAAGGGCCGGGCGTTGGTGGCGCACGCCTGTAATCCCAGCACTCCGGAGGCTGAGGCAGGTGGATCTCTGTGAGTTCGAGACCAGCCTGGTCTACAAGAGCTAGTTCCAGGACAGGCTCGCCTCCCTGTCTCCCCACATACCATTGGGATCAATGCGGTAGGTGTCGGGGTTGATGAGATCAATCCAAAGCCACACAGAAACCCTGTCTCGAAACCCCCCCCCCCCAAAAAAAAAAAAAACACAAAGGGAAAAAAACAAAAACAGCTGGGTATGGTGATGCATGCCTGTAAATTGAGGCAAGAGGAATGCCAGGAGTTGGGGGTCAGCCTGGGCAACAGGATCATACCCTATCTCAAATACACCCAAATGGGGGAGAGACAACAAGAACCAGGACCACTGACCTGATCATGGCCTGAGACATCATCTCTAGTGCAGCTGCTCCACTCGTGTCCTTAGGGGCCGGGTCTGAGTCAAAAATGACCTGAGCACAAGGGTTGATCCACATCTGGGAAACAGAAGGACTGAAGTTAGTCTGGACTGGATAGGCATACGGAGTTTGCCCCTGCCTCCCACCCAAGCCTGACCTTGAAATCTGGGAAGACAGGCATGACCTCCACTGGTGTCACTCGGGGCTTGCTGTAATGCTGGGAGATCTGGTAGAACAAAAAGGGTGAGAAACAGGAAAAACCCAAGCCACACTTTTGCTTTTATCCCATTCCCCCAATTACCGATTTCTGGGCATCTTCAAAAGTCTTCTCAATAGCCGTGATCTGGCTGTCCCTGTCTTTGTATATTTCTTCCTCTGTGAACTGCTGCTTCACAGAAACCCCAATCCTAGGAGTGAAGAGAAGGTCATTAGGGGCCTCTGGGCATCTCTAAAGTTTGGCCCCTGCCCTCCCTTTACAACCTGTCTGTCACTTACTTGACCTCAGGCTTCTCATTGGAAATACCGTATCTGTTGAACTCAGTGGAGATATACTCTGTCTTCCGCATCCATGGCACCACCTTCGCATGCTGCTGGGATCTGGAGTAGAAGACCAGGCACCTCAGGATCCCATGCTTGGCAGAGCCCACCCAGTACCCGGCACCACCTCACCTCTTAGAGCTGGTGGGAGCCTGAATTTCCTCTTCCAAAAGCTTCTCATCAGCTGGATCCAGGAGAACTAAGGATTGAGGGCAGGACTGTGAGGGATGCCCAGGCCTGGTCTTTGCTGGCCTACAGCAGACCCTCCCTGTCTCCCCACACACCATTGGGATCAATGCGGTAGGTGTCGGGGTTGATGAGATCAATGGTGACCCCCAGGTCTGGCTCAGTCAGAAGGTCATGTTTGTGCTGTTTCTCCAAGGAAGTTGCTTTGTACTGAACAAACCTGGGTGGGAAAACATGCCTGTTATAATTTCCTGATCCACCCTCACCCCCCACACCCTCCCTCCTAGAAGCTAAGCCTCTGTGGAGAAGAACTCAGTAAGCAATGTTGGAAGCATTGGCAGCTTCTCAGAAGGGTCTCTGTTAGTATTTATTGAGCACCTCCTATATGCTGGCACAGGGAAGGAAGAGGCAGTGAAATAAGCAGGCCTTACCTTCAGTCAACTATTTTTTAGTAGTTGCTCCACCCTTGAGCTCAGTCTTACCTGTTCTGGTCAAAGGGGTAGGTGATGAACTTAGGGTCAAATGGGATGTCGGGAAGGCTATTGCAGTATTTGACTCGGCAGACTACTCCAGACCTAGGGAAGCGGTGGTTCAGAATTAGGCCTCACAGGCCTGCAGAGATGACTCAGCAGTGAAGAGGGAGTATTTATCCTGCATCAGACCCCAGTTTGGCTCCTAGAACTCACATCAGCCTACTGACAACCACCGTAACTACAGATCTGGGGGATCCCACACCTGTGGTCTGTGTAGACAGAGGTATCACAAACATGCACATACACCTAACGAAAAAATAACAGAAATAGCTGAGGTTGATGGCACAGGCCTTGAACCCCTGCACTTGGGAAATAGATCACTGAGAGTTTAGGCTAGTGATGGTTGACATAGTGAGTTCCAGGCCAGTCAGGGATACAGAATGAAGCTGTCTCAAATAAATGCTAGGCAGTAGTGGCACTTGCCTTTAACCCAGCACTAGGAGTCAGAGACAGACGGATCTCAAGTTCGAGGCCACCTGGTCTACAGAGTGAATTCCAGGACAGGCAGGACAGTTACACAAATCCTGCCTCAAAAAAAAAAAAAAAAAAAAAAAAAATTTTTTTTGGTTTTTCAAGGCAGGGTTTCTCTGTGACTTTGGAGGGTGTCCTGGAACTAACTCTTACAGACCAGGTCGGTCTGGTTGGTCTTGAACTCACAGAGATCCACCTGCCTCTGACTCCTGAGTGCTGGGATTAAAGGCGTGCACCACCACCCGGCAGGAATAATTTTTAAAACAACAGTCTCAGGCTGACAAGATGGATCATCCGCTGTCATGCCTGAGGACCCGAGTTTAACATCTCAGAGCTATGTCTATATTGTGTAAGGAAAGAAGTGACTGTGACTAACAAGTCTTGACTGCCACACACAGCTAAGGGGTACGCACACCTTTTTTTTAAAACTAGGCCTCTGCTGCTGGGCACGGCCACAGACCTGCAGTCCCAGCACCCAGGAGGCTGAGGCACCAGGATAATGAGTTTGAGGTCATCCAGGGCCACTTGGTGAGATAGTCAAAAACACAGGCACACACAGACACACACACACACACACACACACACATATCCAGGGCCAGTTTGTGAGATACACGCACGTACACACCCACAGACACACATACCACACACAGAGACACACACAGACACACAGACACATGCACACAACACAGACATACACATACACACACATACCACACACAGACAGACAGACACACACACACACACACAAACACGCACGCACACAGACACACGCATACAGGACTGACACATACTACACACACAGACACACACACCCACATGCACACAGGACAGAAAGACAGACATACACCCACATACCTCACAGATAGACATACACAGACACACACAGACACACATACCACACACAAAGACACACATACCACACACTCGTATACATGCACACACAGACACACACAAAGACATACACATACAGACATACATGCATACCCAGACACACTGACACGCACGCACACAGAGACAGACAGACACACACACACACACACACAAGCACGCACGCACACAGACACACGCATACAGGACTGACACATACTACACACACAGACACACATCCACACCCACACACCCCCACCCGCACGCACACAGAGACCGACAGACACACACACACATACCTCACAGATAGACATACACAGACCCACCCAGACACACATACCACACACTCGTATACATGCACACACAGCTACACACAAAGACATACACATACAGACATACATGCATACCCAGACACACTGACACGCACACACACAGAGACAGACAGACACACACAGAGAGACAGACAGACAGACACACACACACACAGGCCCCCACCGCCCCGTCAGTGCTGCCCGCCGGCCGGCGCCCGTGTCCCACCCGTCCTGGAGAACGTAGCAGCGGGGCTCACCTCTCGGGCAGGGTCCGGTGGGAATTGGGCCTGCGGGAGGGGGTGACAAAGAGGGGCAGATGTCAGGGCAGATGTCAAGAGTCTGACAAGAGGGGCGTGTGGAGAGGGGCTCCCCCGAATCTCCG